TCTTTCCCTGTGTTACTGTGGACTTCAGACTCTTCATATATTCAGTTTTGAAGGGGGTAATGGTGGTTGTTTTATTCACAGATAGTAGATTATAATTAAGTACGTAATGCTTGAGTGTTTCTTTGAGAACACTAAACAGGGTGTCAGATTAGCTGCTGATTCTTAAAAGAAATAAAATAAAATCACTGTAGCATACGCTCTGAACTCCAAGCGCACAGAAATAACACAGACCTTTATCTGGTATTTTTTATTGCTGTATGCAGAATTTAGTGTTAGGACCAGATGTCATCTTTAAAGTGTCTACAGGACTCCTACAGGAGTAAACTTAAATAGTACTGTATGTTTGCACAGCTAGTAAGCATCTTATCCAGTTTACATTGCTTTGAAAACACATTACTGTCAGGCAAATCTTTGGGTAACATCAGCAAGTTGAGGGAGTGTAGAAGCTCCAAGGCAGAGGGAGCAGGTCGTGGCAGAGCAGCAGAAGTGGGTTTATGAACGGGTAAGTTTCAATATGAATTTTCATTTTGGAATATTTGTATACTGATGTAACCCACAGCAGTGCTCAGTTCGGAGAGTCTATTTACTCACAGACTCTCACATAGTCTATAAATGTGAAAATGCTGCTGTCTGCATCAAGAGCAGGGTTCCCTCAGTTTGTTTAGAGCTGAATAAAACTTGCTTTTTGGAATAGCAGGATAGGGAAACTGATAATAGGAATAGTAGTTTAAATACAGCGGCGTTGGGTAGGAAGACTGCATAAAGCTGTGTTGTAAAAGATGGATGACTGGGGAAACATTTTGGGAAACAGAAGAAAGCAAGCGAGAGGCTTTCAGCCATCATTTTGCATGAGATGGTGGTAGATACAAATTTGAATATTGCAGCAACGACTTAGAAAATGAAGAATATGCTTTCAGGTAATGACTTGTTTAGAATTGGAGCATGAATCCATAGTACAGAATGGAACAGACTTATGGACAGCTTTCCATAAATCATTTCTACACATTTCTGTACTGAACACAGGTGCTGGTGGTAATTCTGTCTTTGAAATAGCAGTGTCATTGCATATGTATTATAATTCATATGTATTGTTGGCATGGTGTTCCAGAAAAATATGCCATGTGATGAGCATGTGAGTTTCTGCATCTGAATTGCTTCATCTCTTAATGTTTCGAAAAAGTACATGTTCAAAAATGGTTCAGTGCTGTAGCTTGTTGGGATAGGTCTCTTTATCAGAATGTATGTTCTAGAAGAATAAAATCAAAACATCTGAGTAAGTTGCAAATCGACAAGATCAGTGCAAAATTGCAGTAGCCTGTTCTTGTCAGTATGTTCGAATAATCAATTTTTATAATAATGAGACAAGAATTGCTGGAGATTTTCATGCTTGTCACTAAGGAAAAAAATAAAATCTATTTTCTTGTGCAGCTTGGCCCATTCAGTGGAAACCGTTAATTCATATTTTACGTCAGTTTTAAGATGCTGTAGTTTTAAATCACAAATAAGCATCAGATACAACAAATTGTTAAATATAATATTCCCTCCTTCCCCACCCCCCCTCCGGTAATATTCCAGATGCATGTTGGTACCAGTGAGGGGGAAGGGGAGAGACAGGGACACACGACATGGACAGAGGAGCAATTGACTTATTAGAACAAAGCTTAACATGTGTTCTGATATAAGGCAACTTTGCTTCTAAATTTTGAATGGGAAAGTGGCAATAGCTGGGTTTTTTTCTTTCTATTTCTACTTCCTTGCTCCATTTGCTGGCAAAAATAAACATTTGCTTAGAGATTCTGAACTATGTTAAAAGGTGTTGTCATTGAACACGTTCAGGATAGTAGTTATCTCTTTACGTTTTGAATTGTAATTCCTTTTGCATCTTAAATTGTAACTGTCTCTGCACTGAGTGGAACTGAATCAGCAGCAAGTACTGAAAACTGCAAATATAGACATAATTGAAATTTCCTTAAAAGCATTTTCTAGACTGTTTGGATTTCTAATTTCCCTAAATATTCATGGCACATGAAAATTATTCATAGCAAATCTCTTTGATGCCATATTCCTTTTAGGAAGTATATCTTTTTCCTTCTTGTTACACCTCATCAACCATAAACTAGCAGGGTGAATTTCCCAGCCGTGGTATTAGATTGAGGACATTAGAGCTCATGACTATTTGATATTAACTGGTGTTTGCCATTAGGTTTTGAATTACTGGATTCTGTCTTTGGGTTTATTTCTCATTATAAAAGAAAATTGAAAATTTGTTTGCTTCACTGCATGAATAAGGGTTATGGAATATTTGTAAAGCTTTTGCGTGGATGAAAGGTTACATGCCAATGAAATGCTCTCTAGTATTTTAACATTTCATAGTGCTGGTATTTTTTTCTTTGCAGATTTCCTCATAGCTACAGAATACTCCAGAGTGTCCTTGATAGAAATACTCTGAGGGTAGGCCTAAGCTAGCAATTCAAAACAGAACTAGCTAGAGCATTTGAAGTGAATGAGTCTGAATTGGCTTCTCTACTATATTATAGATGAGAGTAGTTCAGCAGTGGTTCAGGTCAGTGTTGTGCTCCAGCTATTGCTAATACAAACACAGTCTGTGTTGTATAAAGAGAAGCACTTGCTATACAACATTAGTGTAAGTGGCAGAAATCTTCAAGGAAAGAATAAAAAATTACTTGGACATCTAGTTTCATAGCAGTTTGCAAAAAATACTGTTAATCAAACAGTATTTTTGACTGATACATGCCAAAAGGGTGTAACTGACAAATCAATAAAGATAAAATGGTGAAAACAGTGAAGTCTCTAAAGATGGAACTGGAAGAATAGTCTGTTAAGAGAATGATACTAAATTGTTTATGATCCAGTAAATTACTTTCTCCATAGGACCACTTAACAGCGTTTCCAGACTTCAAGTTCTCACCCACTGGGAATGTCTAAAGTAAAAAATGTGTTCATAGTAAAGTGTATTTTGGGGTTAGGTGCTGTTCTGACACCAATTTCTGTAATCCCAGTTCACTTTCTTTCACAGGGTACTGTTGTGGGTTTTGGGGTTTTTTTTTAATCAAAATTGTATTGACACACACCCCCACCCTGGAAGTTGTTGCATTCATTTTAAAAACTTATCTGTAGACCAGAGTTGCCCAATTTTACACCACAGATATTCTCATTTGTTATGTGTGTAGGAACACGAATGCTTCTGTTGTTTGCTTAGTTTCGAATCAGTTGGGATCTATCTATTTTCATTAAATAATTCCGTTAAATGGTTTAAGTGTTGGAGATGGGGAGGGGGATGTACTGTATTCCATGAATCCTGAACTTTTGAGTCCTGTGACTTATGCATTTAGAAAGAGGAAAAAAAATTCAATAATTTATTTTATAATTTCTGGGTATTAGTAAATTATTTACATCGTACATGTAATTACAATGAAAAAACCTATTTGTTGCTTCTCTCTTTGATCAGTCCCCCCACCCCTCCTCCCTGTTCTGTATTATTGTATGTTCAATGCTGCTTTCTTTTACATGCCTTTGTTTTTTTTTCCCCTTCCCCCTTCCTGTTTGTCAGAGTTAATGGGACCTGAGTTAGCTATAATCCGTAGGGGTCTGCAGCGACTGAGGCTTAAGAAGGCAGAACAACAGAGACAGCGAGAGCTAGCTGAGGGTTCAGCGCCACAGTCGTCCTCTTCTGATCAGTCCTCCTCTAAGGGCTCCTCACAGGACCCTCAGACATCAGGTTGTCATTTGTCAAGGTTTCTTAAGCAGCTAACGTAGTTATAGTTTGTGCTGCTGTTGTTTGCTGAGATGCTTCTCTTCCAGAACAAGACAGTTAATGCATTTGCTGCTTGTCTTACCTTGCATGTGGTGGTGTTTATCATCACATGGTTAGGGAAAGTAATATTGACAGTTTTCATCTATCTAACATGTTTGGATTGTATAGCTAAATGGTACTGTACAGACAAAGTTTCCTGAGTGCATGGCATCAGGTAAATGCAATGTTTGTTAGAGCAGTTGAGCAAGAAATTGCTGTGTCCTGAATCAAGTTCTTACACACTTGAAATTGCATTTTGGTGTTAACTGTATCTGGTAGCAACATTTAAGGCTTGGCTTTGGTTTAGCAGATGTTCTAAATCAGGGTAACAATTCAGTAAAACAGAATTTTAGCACTCTTAAATACTATGGCTTTACAGTAAGTATAGGGAGCATACTCTTAACAAGCCAAAGTCTCCAGGTGTGCTCTCCTCTTTTGAAAAGAGTAACTTTTCTTTTCACCATCCCCCTTCTCTTATTGAGATTAAAAATTACTACAAGAAAGCCTTGGAGATGTTAATAACAAAAAGAGACATATTTGAGAAAGTTAGGGTAGAAGCATGCATATGAGTAAAGAGGTAAACCCTAAAGCATAACCTTGAAGCGAACTCTGCATGCTTTGTGGAATATCAGCATATTTTGGGTTGAGAAATAATGTCTAGCAATGTTTTTTCTATGCATAAATTCTGTGATAGTTGAAGTGTGGCTAAATTACTTACAAGGATTGTGTCATGCATTCATGGCTTAACTTGCTATGGTTCAATCTATTCATATATCTGGAGCCTTGCAGAACAATTTGATGTAAGAGTGACTAGTGCTCTAGTTACAATATGTAGTCACTAAGTTTTGTATAACTTCCTGCACAAGCAAATTCTGCAATGAGTTTTCAGAATGTTTGGAAACAGTAAGTCCTTGGAGGGCTTTGTGCTTATCCTAGGAATGGCAGTCATAGCTGCATGTTACCTGTAAGAGGAGAACAAGAAAACCAGCTTTTTTTGATTTCTGCGCTCTGGACATGGAAATATTATCTGTATTCACTCATTTCTTTATATGCAAATTATTTGGTTTGTTCCCTTTTTCTGAGCTTCCAAAACTCATTTTTGGAATACGTCTATCCGCAATCTGTTCCTTTGCAACCAGAGCTGCAGAATTTTGATGTCTTGCTTCTCAATAGAGAAACTTGTTTTCCAGCCCTGTGGTAAGCTGGTGTTTCAGGAATGTGGTAGGAGCAAAAAGTTCTTCGTTTGGGGTTTTGTTTTTTGTTTCTTGGTTTTGTTTTTTTTTTTAAATTCCCATACAGAGACAATCTCTTTTTTTCTTTTCCCCCTTTTTTTCCCCCCCTGCAGGCTTGTCTTTGATGCTCTGTCTTGAGGCAGATGTGTAGTTTTCAAGTACATAATAGTTGTGAGTTTTCAAAGAAAAATTATACCCCAGAATGTGTCTGCCGCTATGTAAAATGGCATCAATGCCTCTGAACCAGGGCTGCAAGTTCTCAATCCCTGCTCTGGTAAAACTTGTGTAATTTATACTTGCAATTTTAGGAGGAATTCAATGTGAGTCTAAGGCCATTTCTTCTGACCTGTGTTTCATTCTTAATCCTTATCTTTGCAATCACAGAAGCTCAATTATAGCTTTGGACATAGGCTGGAGAAAAAAATACTCCAGCCATGTAAGAAATTACCAGTAGAGAATGTCAAGAGCTGAAAGCTTTTACAGGTTTAATAGAAAATCAAGCTATATGGTAGTCATTCTGTCTTGTGGTCTAAGGATTTTAATAGCTACGTGAGGATTTGTAAACTGTTTCTGTAATAGTTAACCATCATTATTTAGAAAAATATGGTCAAAAGTTTGTTCTTGAATGTAAAAGTGCATTAATTGGGACATGGTTCACAGTGGGCTGATGTGACATTAAGGAAAAAGATATTTCATCCTCAGATGACAACAAGAGTTTGTTTTAGTGGATAGCTCTCAAGTATTGTGTAAATTTGGCTGAGTTTTAGAAGCAGTGTATGCTATGTGTATCAGGTTTTGTAGTCTTCAAGCCTTTGCTTAGGTATTGAACAGATTCAGCTTTTTGTGTCTTAGCTGATTTAATTAGGGAACCATGGGAAGGTTTTGTTGGGTTTATTTTTAGTATTATATACACGTTCTCCAACAAAGCCTAGTTTTGACTTATATTTTTGTGGCATTTCTTAACATTCAGATCACAGGCAGTATTTAAACAACAACGTGTGTTATATGCAAACTACGATGAAGATGAACCTTTTCAACCTGTTATTGCTGCTCTGCCCAGTGCTGATATGCCGTGTATGCATCACAATTACCTCCATCACTCTTCTTTTTGAGAACTTAAAAGTGAATTGAATGCAGTTTGAGAAGTTACAGAAACAAACATGAACCACCTGATCTTGAAGTGGAAAAATAGAACTAAATCAATTTATAGATCTGTGTGCATCAGGTGTTTCTGTAGCGGTCAGTGTGCATAGTCTTACCCACAAAAACATGAAGTAATGTGAACCTTTATTCTTTGAGGAAAAATTAATTTGATTTGGACTGCATTTATTGTGGAATAAAGATATATACATGTGCATGCTAGTGTATTGCAGAACCTGGGATGCACATTGGCCTAATTACACAGTCAGTGTCTTTCAAGTGGAAAAAATTGGACCTTCATTTCTATCTTAAAGCTTTCTGAAAAGAACATGGGGATGATTGCATTTCTTGTTACTAGATTCTTTGCATTCTTTGTAAACACCCAGATGTAGAAATGTGTCTGTCTGAAGTCCAGAATACGTAACTGAGAGATCATTCACTGTGCAAAGCAGTTTTTCCTAGTTAATAAAACTAATGTTTCATTTCTTAGATTAAGGTCCACTGTATGTACCATGTTTAGGACTTTCAAACCAGGTCTCACTGCTTCAGACCTGACTGTCACACTATAGCTGGTGTTACAGTGATATAAGGAAGAAGGTGTTTTTTTTAACCACCACAACAGAGGTGGCATGCTAATGTTTTGATGAAGTCAGGTGCTTATTGCCCACACTATAGGAAGATCCCTCAGCATATAACTGTCGTTAAAATTATCTTCTATTTTCTGTTTGAGGTTCCCCAAATTTATGAATCTCCAGTTCCCTCTTTAAGTGGTGTTCCAGTTTAGAATGTACTGGTGACATTACAACCAGTGGTGAACTGCATTGGGATGTAGACCCAGCCTGTGAAGGCTCAGGTAAGAGTTTGGATTTTTGTTTGTTTTTTTAACTATATGGCACAGTTTTGGTAATACTTTTTCCAAAAGCTTTATCAGAAATGATGAAAGTACTTTTTCAGAATTTTCACAAAACAAAGCCATATATTAAAAAAAGAGGCATTTACCTGAACTTCTCGAGGCTGGTTTCATGCTCATGTTTATTTCCCTGCCTGACGTGTGGGGTTCCAAACTGCAGTGCCACTTCAAGGGGTGCTGGTGATTTGTGGCTTCAGGTGACTTGAAAAAGGAAAGAAAGTGAGTTTACAGTTTCTACAAATTGAACTTTTCTTAACCATGTTAATTGGAATATGTTGGTTAAAATTTCTCCTATTACAACTGAAATGCATTCAGAAGGTTGTAAGAAGACATCAAAATAATAGTGAAATGTGGGAGGTTTAAGCCTACGTTGGCATGGGTTGCTACTTAGAAAATTTTTCATTTTTGCTTACTATAATTGAATGATACACATGGTAAAACACACCTACATTTTACTTACTGCTGTATAATGTGAAGTCTTAATAAGATTTAGAAGTGCTGATAAGGGGTAGTAAATGTAATTTCTTGGGTTTTTAATTAAAATATGTTAATTCAGTCATATTTCTTCTGTTCATCTTGGTTTGAATTAAAGAGCTGATGCAATTAGCTTTTCCAGCCAAGTGAAATGCTTGGTGGCATGATACACCTTTTAAAAAGGGACATATAGGCTTATGGGAAGAATTGGATTGCAAGAACAGAGCAAGACTGAGAATTGCTGTCTTCTGTCATTACGCTTCTCAGCTTGCTGTGCAAGACCTCCCCTCCCTTCAGCACTTTTGATAAAAGTTAATCCCAATCACAGGCTTTGTAACTGTGAGTTGGTGATCAAAGCCAGCCAGTCTTTGAGAGAGTCACATCAGTTCCTGTGCTGAACAGCTGGAATACAGGTTGATCATCTTATGACATGGTGCATCTTTACACTAGCTTTTTGCTCCAATTTACATGCTAAAAAATGGATTACTACTCCATTGAAAAAACTGCACTGTAAATACTTCATTTTTAAATTAGAAATCATATGTAAACCACTCTTCAGTTTTGGAAAGTGAAATATATTGGTACAAGTCACAGGATCACAGAATCACTAGGGTTGGAAGGGACTTCTGGAGATCATCTAAATCAGCTTTGTCAGTTTAGCAGTTTTTATGGCTATACTACAAAATAGGTCATGCTGGTGATCCCGACCCAAACCTGGAAGTGAGCTTCCTGT